AATCTTTCTGTGCACCATTCTTCTCCCTAAGTACACAGTACCACTTAATAAAAGAAAAATTGCAGAGACTTGCCATTTCGCAAATCTCGCCAACACTAGCTATTTAAAAATTAAGTTTGAGGCACAAAATATCATGATTTGTTTATATAAACCATTGGGACTTTAACTATAACAAAAAGAATGCATATAAAAATTATGATGTTGCTTAAGGAGTTTTATGAGCATGGTTATGTACATGGTGCTAAGAGTTTGGCATATTCTGAAAATTTGGTGGTTGTGATTATGTCTACTAAGGTAGTTGTGATAATATAAATACTGGAAATTTTGCCACCGTACTCTCCAAACATGGCACTATTCCGATTATCACTTGTTTCTCTTTGAAAAATTTGAAACTAAGCATATGTTAGCCAAGCGTGAACTGATTTCTCCGGCTCTAAGGACAAGACGTTTTGCAAAAATGGTATTTAGAAATTACCATTGTGCTCAAGAGTTGATAAGTAATGACTGAAATCATACTGTAAAATAAAAATTATTAAATATTTATTGTTAAATATTATTAAAGATCAGTGCCACAAAAAAATTAACATTTTCTTTCTCTTCTGAAATGGAGAGTAATAATTTTCCAGTGGACCAATGAAGTGGTCCATTTTAATTCCAATTGTAATAATTTTCCAATGCACCTTATATATTCACTTCACAAAAAGCATTTAAATGATAGTCTGTGTCCGTATTATAAGATTGGACGATTAGAATGAAGGCAAGGCAATCTGTGTTATGTTTGTTGTGTAATTATTTTGTCTGTCTTCAATTCTTTCAGTACTCTGTGGGAAATTTTTCCCCTTCACATCCAACTTAAGGTTAAATATTGTGTATTTTGTGATAAAAGCAATAGAGTAATTGAAATTATGAATTTGCATTGTGAAGTTCTTCTGATTGGGATAAGTTTTGCCATTTTGTAGGACTCCAATCCACTGTTTTACAAGTTTTTATATGATTTTCCTTTAGAATTTTAGTTTTCAATGATTTCCTTTAGAATTCCAATGTAGAAATATTACAGATATTCCCATTTTCCAATCCTGTCTTACTATTAATATCTGACAAAAGAATGGTTCAGTTTCAAAAACAAAATAATTTTGGTAAATGCAGTAGATGTTACTGTCTCTCTCTCATTTTCTAATGTTAAATTGATTTAAATATAAATTTTAGCATTGTGACTTTCTTTGATTAAGGCTTATTTCAAATACTACTGAAAAATAAATAAATAAATAAACTAAAAGAAATTGTATAATGATAGTTCTATTCAAAGTGTAGGAGGGGGGACCTGCGATTCTTTTGGACCACTTATGAAGCATTGATAGTATAATGATCCTATGTGTTTTCCTGTGATTGCTGATAAACTGTCTGTAAGCACTGTTTGGATGAAGACCTTAGTTGAGTTCACACACAGTATAGTATAGATTTTTATAAAATTCAATGAATATCATATCACTAAATGTGTATCACTAGCTTGGCAATTTTTTTAATTTATGTCTGTAAATAGTATTTTCATAAAAAATTATGTAGATATATAATTTTAACCTTAAATAGTATCAATAACTGTTCACGTAAATGAAGGGCATTTTCCAGTTGTGCTTTTGCCAATTCATCTTCCAGAATTAGTCATGCAATTGGTTCTCTTCTCATTTTTCATTCCCTTATTGCTTTTCACCAGCTTGACATATGGAGAACAATATTCTCAGTTTCATCAAAATTTAAATTTACCATTGTGGTTTTAGTTATGATGTTCAAATGAAAAAATGTATGGGCTTTTACGAGTTGAATTTTTATATGGTATTTTATAATTTGATTAAACATTTGAATAATTACCCAGTTTGAACCTTTTTTTTCAAAAAAATTGTGATGAATCATAAGTATTTTGAGACCTTGCAAATGTGTATATTTTGTTTGTCTTGGACTAACAGTATCAAAGGAAAGAGACAAGTATTCAGAAAGAGAAACAGTAACTCTTTTCATGTAAGCAGACAGTTAAGGACTGCTATGTTTTAACCCTTTGCGGCACAGTGTGTCCGGTCTGTACATACCTAAAAATTTCCTTCTGTACACACAGAAAAATTGAATGAAAAAGGACTTGTAGGTTACTCTGAATCTTCTTTATTTATAGTAGATGGCAGCTCAACACAAACCAGTCCATATATATTTTAGCCATGTTTAGTTTTTTAAAACCTTGCTTTTTCAAAGAAATCTTCCAGATTTTTTTTAGGGTATAAAAGGAATTGTCTTAAAATAAATTTCTATGTTATTTTTTGGCTGTATGCTAATCTCCTTATTCTATATTAATTTTAAATTTTTACCTTGAAATCTTGCCTAAAATCAAACGGCGAACCCAAGATGTGCCCACACCAGGCTCACCGATAATCTAGGACAACTGAAAGTCTGTATTCTTTGTTTCTCCTCATCTCATCGGTCAGTTCATTGACAGCAATGCTCATTTCAGCCCTCTTTTCGAAGCTCTATTCAATCAGTGTGCCGGCACACCCACAGAAATAAACGATAAGTGCTATCTTCACAAAATTTTACTTGTGTACTCCTCTAGGCCTAATTAGACTGCCTACCTGTTTTTTTTTTTTTTTTTTTTAAATCAAAATTCTGACTTTAAAAGGTAGCGTGCTGTAAAGGGTTAAGTGAGAATTGTTATCTACGAAAGAACTGCCAAGATCTTTTACATTTCAATTTGAATGGCAGTGCTTTGAGAATTCCATGAGCTAATGAAAATTATTAGTAAATAAGTAATTTAAATAACACTTACAGTTCAGCCTTATAAATTAAATCTTGTAATGCATTTTTACAATATCCCTTTTTAAAAAAAAAGTTGGTATGTATATTAATAAGGTTAATATGTGAAGAAGCCAAATATCGAGTATCCAAAAAACACCATCCCATAGTTTTCAGTGAGAAATAATGACCCAACAATTTCGCTCAAATGCTTTTTATTCGGCAAAATAATTTTCTTCAGCTTCAGTTACATGTTCCCAATGAGATATAAGCTTATAAATCCAGCATTTTAAAAGTTCTTGTTCGTAGAACCAAAAAATTGTCCTATGGCCTGCATGACAACATCTTGGTTTTAGAAGTGTTGCTCATGCAAATGGTTATCCTTAGGTAAGAGCAGGTGATAGTCAGATGGAGCAATGTCTGGGGATGAGGTAAAACTCCCCAGCCAAGTGTGTTGGTTACCTTCTTCGTCACTTTTGCCAAAATGTCTTGCAGAATGATCAGTCCTTTCCTGTTGATTAGTGCTGGCTGGTTCCAAAGACGTGTAAGTGCAACTGGGTTTAGTACGCCTTGGCTGTGATGGTTTTGCCACTCTGTATCATTTCAAATTACACAATACCAGTGATGGTCCACCAAACACAGAGCAGTACCTTATTTTTATGAGTGTGTTATTTGGGGGCAAATTTCCACAGAACCAGAGGATGAACAATGATGTTTTTATATACAGTTATTGTATGACACCGATTTCTTAGTCACGTGTCAATATCTTGTACAGGAATGGAGATTTTTTGTGGTTGACAGCAATAACGAGCAAATGGTTTGCAGTTTGATTTCCTCGGTCAAAACAGGAGGAATCTATTTACTGAGCTTCCATGTCTTCCTGAGATTGTGCAGATGCATTCTAATGGTTTCTTCTGACACTCTGAACCCTTGTGCAAGTTCCTTGCATGTTTGGTATAGATTACTCTTGATGTCCTCCTTCAACAGGACTTCATTGATAGTGGAAAGGCATCCAATTCGAGTCTCGTCTCAGAGGTTCTTATCTTATGCAAATTGACTGAACCAGTTTTGTGCTTTGCGCTGACTCACTGATGTCTCTTTAAATACAATGCACATTTTTGATTAGTTTGTGTAGCATATCTACCAGATCAGAACCCATAAACTGAACACGGCCGTAATAACACATCCTTTGACCACTTGTATGTTCACTCTAGGATTGTAGTTCCTACAGAACTGCTTTTGGCATGACCGACATGCCTCAGAATTCTGCACTGACTAATGGTTGATAGGAACATCAACATCTGATGCCATCCCGAGAGATTGCTGACACCTACCATTTGAATTTCACTTTTTGTTGCATTGGCATGATTTTTTTTGGGATACCTGGTAAATATATATTATACAATCAGCCTTGAAACTATCGTCAAGCAGCACAGTTTAGTGCCAGTCATGGATAAGTGTGATATAATGCACTGGGCTACCTGGTAAATAATGGTACATCTATATTATCCATCAACCATGAAACTACCATCAAGTAGCACAATTTAGTGCCAGTCATGGATAAGTGTGATGTAACACACTCATAACTTCTGCACTTCCATATGATTTTAATCCAGCTGATTCTGAATAAGGCACTTTTTGTTTATAAATTAACTATTATTACTGCATCCCCTTTCATTTTGGAAAAAAAAAAAAAATCAGTCTGCCTTTTACATAACAGCAAACAGTGGATTATGTTCAAAATTATAAGAGGCTACCATTAAAAAATGGACTTGATATGGTCAGCTGAATATCTCCAACAAAACAGTAATATGATTGCAATAATAACCTGCAGGAAGTCTCTACTTACAGCATTCTAAACAGAGCTTGCAGTAAAATTGCAGGGACTAACAAAATAGTAGGAATTGACAAAAGCCTTTTTTAAAGCACAGAAACAAAGAAGATCAAATACTAATTGTTTTATAAATGAAAAGGGATTATTGAAGAATTGAATTGCACTGGAGCAATTGGTACAACTTTGGCAGGATATCTGTCAACTTTCCTGATTCAGTCATAGACATCTTGCTTTATTCATGAGATAATGTGTAAGTACTTAAGTGACATTTTGATATGTGTAAACAAAGTCAGTTGCTGGACCAGAATGTATTAGATTTGTTAAATGAGGAATGTATATATTTGTTTCTATAAATGTATTGAATATTAATTCTAAAGTAATATTTTTATTGCAGCATTTACGTATGACAATCAACCCAGAAGGTCAGTGTCGTGTACAGCATTTGTGGTTTCAAACTATATTTGACATGTTAGAGCATTTTCTACAGCATCCTATACCTTTAGAATCAGGTGGTGCATCTGATGTAACCTTAACTGAATATGTAGTTAATTTAGAAGGTGCACAATCTGCATCATCTCGTTCACGGTCATCACCATCACATGGAGAGCCTGGACGAACTGGTGCTGCAGCTCATCGTGTGCCTAGTATACCTGATTTACGAGAAGTGGTAACTGTTCAAGGATCTGTGCGAGTGAGGAGTCAGTCTCTTGAAAATGTTCAAGCTCATGCTGGTCATCATCCCCCACAACAGCCGCCTCGAGCGGTTGAAAACACCTACTCTTTTGTTTGATATTTAATTTCCATTAATGTGTGCAAAAACTTATGCAGCCCTGAATTATTAGAGCTAAAGAAACTGCCAAAATATACTGAAGTGATCAAAAGCTTTTTATTGTGTATAAATTGTATGTGCATGGTGTTACATTTTTTGATTGTTTCATGAGCAATATTTGAATGACATTATAGTGATTGAGTTGAGAAATATTTTTAATCACTAATTTGTCAATGTAATTTAGATCTGTGCTTGTTTTTATATAAATTTGTTATATATAAGTCATGCTGAATTGCAGCTTTTGATTGATGATTACTGATTTAGATATGTAGATTAGTCAGGAAAAATGCTATTATATTTAAACACAGATTTTTCAATGCAGTTAAATAATTCCATATATTCTGCTTGAGATTATTGATAATTAAGCTAGCTCGCATACAAAATAAATATATCCTGAAAATTCCAGTAATGCAATTTCAATGATATATTAAATTTAGATTTTTACTGGATATTTTAGTTTGGAAACAGAAATGCAGTTGGAAAATGTACTGTGCGAGTTTTACTTATGCGTGCATAATTGTTTATTCTGTGCCAAATAAAAATACTACTGCATATTTCAACAAAACATGTTTTTTATATTTAGGTGTTATTTTTAAAAATATTCTTTCTTACCTAAATTTTTAGAAAATAAAAAAAATTGAAGCTTTCAGCAAGCTTCATAGATTTTGAGAGCTAGAGGTATTTTAAGGAAGATTTTTAAATCTGCAGCCTACAAGTTTATATGAATTCCATTTGAGTAGGTCATTAATTATTATGCATACCTTAATGGTTTGTTATGGCACATATTAATTTCAAAGAGCTTCTAAGTATAAAAAGTGCTGAAGAATAAAAAGAAAAAACTGACACAAAAATAATTTTCAGATTTTTATATACAACTATGTAAGACATGCAACACTGATATTCATGACCATATGTTTTCAGATTTTTAGTGTTATTAAAATACTTTCTTATAACAGAAACATACTTAGTAATCTGTAAGAGAGTTAAGTTTTACTGAAAATAGTTTGTGATTTTGATGATGTATATGCTATGCAAAATTAAAGATTTTATTTAGTATTGTATTTTATTTAAATTATTTTTGAGATTATTAATTAATTATAAGGCATTTAAAAGATGCATTTTTCTCAATTTGAGTTAAAAAATGGCTTGTAATTATTATAGATGCATAGAAAAACCATGAAAACCATAGGCCATTCTAGAAATGAATTAAAAAGGATTAGTTCTCAATTAAACTCCATTTTAATTAATTTGTAGACTGAATTTTCCTGTCAGACACAGTCAACTGTAATACTTCATTATGAAATGCTGTATCAATGAATTCTACTTTAACAAGTTGCATAGTCATAAATAAATTTATTATGGATTCCATTATCATCTCTAGAAGTCTCAGTGTAGCTGCAGATAAGTATGATATTGCTCCAGAAATCCTGACAAAAAATTCTAAAACATTTTGCAGCCTATTACACTGGAAATTAAAACTATATGTCATATGCTTTTTTTTAATCATCTAGCAGTAAACATTTTAACTAGCTTTAATTTAGAATAAATAGCATGTAAAATACTCTAGTAATTTAAAAGTAATTTTTTACATAATTATCTTCTCCAATATCTTAAAAATGGCTTTTTTTTTTAGATAAACAAATAAATTATTTCCATTCCAGTTCTTCCCCCTCCACTAATAAAAACTTTAAATATAAGAAGAATTTATTTAGATGTTTGAACCTTCAGATACTAATTTTTAGTGTATTTTATTTTCATTACACAAGATATTTCAAGTTATAGCTTTTCAACTTTGAGCTTATTTTTCAGTTTTGTTTTAAAGTAGCAGATACGTGCATGGGTGCTAAAAATTTTAGTTTCAAATACATTATGAAATTAAATTAAGTAACACAAAGAAATCAGTCAACATGTAAATGTTTAGTCTTGTACAAATTATTTGTTTTTCATTAATATATGTGTTTTGTATATTTAATGTAGCTCTAAGTTGATTTTAAATCATTTCTTTACCTAAAAAAATATAGTGAAACAGTGTTCATCAGAACAAGTAATACTTTTAATTCACGTCTCCACATCCTATTTAAATTAAAGAATGTACAATATGCAAAATTTTATATTATGAAATATTTTTCTTCTGTCTAATTTTAGTGTTCATTAGACTCATGTTTTGGCAGTAAGTTTATAAAACTTATTAATTTGAGCATTTGCAAACTTTTATACAAATTTGATATTAATTAGATTAAGATGTATACCTCAATTAATAATTAAATGCATTTAAATTCTCTAAATCAGAAAACTTTAATGTTTTTTAAATAGTTAATATTTTTACCTTTTTTTTGCCAAGCCTTAAAATTTCATACATCATACCAAATAAAAAGCCCTCCTTTCATGACGTTATTTGTGATAATATATGAAGATATATTTACGGCTTAAAAGTACATAGTGAGTTCACAAATGACACGTGTTGTATGATATAGTAATAGTTTAAGTGGAAAAGAAATTTAGGTCATATCTTTTTAGCTTTTATTTCTGTTGAATTAAAAAAAAATAAAGATATGATTCAAAATGAAGCATTCTATTCAATTTGAAATTCAGAATCTTCATGCAGGTCACGCAATAAAATATAAGGGCAACAAAGTGTTTTATGTTTCAACGGGACTGCCAAATTTACAGAAACAGATCTTCTTTTATTTCTATATAGATTGAAACAATTCATAAGATTTTGAAGTAATTTGCATAATTTAGATAATAATTTTCTGCACACAAAAGTAATGTTCATGAACATTTCTTGTATGCTAAGAAATTGAAGAATATATGAAAGACTAGACCCTGCAAGTAGTGTTTAGTGCTAGATTGTAGCATAACTGATTTAACATTGGTTTAAAACTGAAACAATGTGCTTTTGTTATTAGGAAACAACTATTTTAGAATCAGTTTAATTTTAGCATTTTGTCAAGAAAATGTGTTTCACCTTAAAAGCCCATAATCTACAAAATACATATCTGAATTGCTACTAAAAGCAAGTGAAGCAGTATCTGTTTAATGAATGAGTATAAAATTGTTCCAGTTTGTGTATCAGTAAATTACATTCAGAGAGTATAAAACCACCATACTCTTTTTCCTGCTCAAAATTTATTGAAAGTGCTAAAAATTTTATGTATAAATTTGTATGCAGTTTTATTTTTATTCTATTGTCATGGCTTTACATAATCGAATGAGTTACAACAAATTTAAAAATAAAATTTTATAACTTTTTAAAAAATTTTAGGAATTCCTTTTGCAGAGATTATTTTATGATGTATGGAAAATAGAAACAAATCAAAATTTACCAAATTCAATCAATAAATAACATATTTTACAAAACATCAGAAATTTCAAGACAGGCTAAAGTAATTTTCAAGGGATGCAAAACACTTTTTCTTTGCATTACTTTTTTGTGACACTAAAATATAATTTTTTTTTAGAATCTTTCAGATTAAATTGTGATTATCTGCATGCTTTTTTGCAGTAGAATAAATTAGACATGCCAGAAAGTAAAAAATTATTTAAGTATGCATTCTATATATATTTTCTATCAGTTACAAAAATCTACTCATTCAGCATAAATTTAGTAACAAACCATGATAAAAAAGATACCAAAATAAGCCTTGCAGCCTAAATTATCAATAATACTTTTTTAAGAGGTAGATTATTTTCATACAATATGTTGATGGTTGAAATAGTGAAATGTATTCATGTAAAAATTTGCCTGTTCTTGTGGTGTTATTTTATTAATATGAATTTTAAAGGTTAACAATTATAAGTATGCAATTATGGAAATCTGTTATTTGTAGGAACTTCAGAAAGGTATAAGTTGCTGTGAATTTGATATATGTATAAATTGTTAATTTTTGTAGATATTAATATTTAAAATAATTTATGATATGTTTGACATTCGGTTGCAAAAATATTAATTTTTATTTATTTAGCTCTTGATTACATGAGCTAGAATCATGTACATTCTGATGGATATATTTTTCGTGTATATAAAAATATAATGAATGAAAATCAGTCATTGGAGGCATAGAAGTATAACTTCAAGTGGCATTTACAGTTTTTAATATGTGTGTGCATGTGTGTATGTGTGTTAGCATGTGTTTAATTAAGGTTATCAGTTTTCAAAGTATTATATATGAATGGAAACTGCTATAATTGCAGTATAAGTATTAAATCTAAAAGAGCGATTACACACTTGAATGTAAAAAAAAAAAAAAATCTTGATGTTTACTCTTATTAGTTTACATAAGATGAATTAAAAATCGTTTGCCAACTAAACTGAAATGAAAATTAGTCAAAAAGACAGAATAAAAGGGAAATATTTCAGATATTAAAATTTGACTCTTAATAAATTTGGGTTAATAAACATTTTTATTTGTAGATTCAGTTTTTTTTTTAGTGTATTGATTTTTTATTAAATCCATGAAGCGACAAAAATAAGTGTTGTAAATATTTTGAAAATTTAAAATTTTCATGAATTTTAAGTATTCAACGCAGAAATTTTATTTGATATTGATATTTAAATCAGTTATTTCAGTAATATAATTTTCTTTTTGCATAAATTTGCAATTCACATTCATTTATTAAAAATATTTCCACATATTTTGAAACAGATGTACGATGCAAGAGAAATGATAGAGATATATACTCTAACGTAACACAAATTTTTCATTCTGATAGTATCTTCTACAATACATATTTTCTGTACTTTAACTATTTAATATCTAATGCATATAAAAGAAATAATAAAATTTTGCAATATTTTCAGCTGATAAAAATTTATTTCTTTCAGTAAGTTTCAGCCAGTTTTCTTACATGCTTGTTTAATACATCAGAATATTTATCGCATTCCACATTCTGCAGGAACTGTTAATTTTACATTTTCTTTGACTATTTAGTAATCATCTTGGAGGGACATATTGCTTTACTCTCTTATATAATAACTGAAATTAAATCCACATAAATATTATTTTAAAAATACTTTTCTTTATTTATTATTTCTCTATATAAAGAATATAAATGTTCATGCTTATTATACTTATATATTTATCGCAATTCTTTTCCAAAATCTTAGTGAATGATTACATTTTAGTGCTAAATAATAATATGCTTTGGAGATTGTTTCTGTACAGAGTAAATTCATATATTTGTGTTATAACATTTACTTCAGATGAATAAACAAGCATAAAATCTATAAATCTGGTTTTTGTGTTTCCATCACCTTGTTTCACTGGATATTTGTATTCTAATTTTATAAATTTGCCGCAACTGTGCATATAGATGTTCTCTGTTGAAGCAGCATTATACATGCATTTCAGCAATATTACTGTATTTTAATTATGTATTCTTAATATATTCTTCTAGTATTTTTATGCATCATATCATTTACACTGTATATTTTTGCTTGTTTATATGAGTTAAGAAATTTAATGTATTTCAGTGAATATATTTATTATAGTTAAAATTCATTCTCAGCCTGATTCAGTAGATCTATATCTTACACAAATAAAACAAACATTATACATTTTTTGAATTTTTGTTTTACTTTTGTTATTTTTAGAAGAAAAAGGTAACAGAATAGTAGCTTTAAAAAATATGCATTTATTTGAAATGAAAAGATTATATCATCAGTATTTAAATATGGCATTTCCTTATTCTAAATATATTCAATTCAAGTAATTGAAAATTTGTTATTTTTTTAATTTTAGAGCCTTTAGATTCTTCAGCATGTGTTGAGGTAAAGGAGCCATAACAAACAAATTCCTTCCTTCCAAGTATTCTGGTACTACAATGTTTCGAGCATGAATATGTAAAGGGATGTAACGTACTTTACTTTGCCTGACATATAACTTCTGCAGCAAGTCACTTGGTAGTTTCTATATGAGAAAAAATAAACAAAGAATTATGAAATCAAATTTAGCTTTCAGTCATTTAATTCATTTCAGTATTCCCATAAGAAAACTGCCCGTTTTACTTCAGAACTTATAGTTTTTAAATACTGACATAGCAAATAATTTTATTATTCTAATTAGTATTTCAAATAAATTATTTTATTCAAGTGAATGTTGCACAGATGTAGTTTTTAAATATATTTATTTAAATACTAATGTAAAATCAGACAGGTTATTCAAACAAAACTCATGAACACAAAAATAGTTTTAAGGCACAAAATGATCTAAAACCTTACAGCCATAAAATGTGACTGACTTTGAAATTAAGTCATATTAATGAAACAAAAACATGAAAACAAACAGATTGAGAAAGATATCTAGAATAAAATGAGTATAGATTTAAAAGAGTCAATATTTTTTTATACAAAAACCTTTCACAACATTTAAATGAGAAAAAGAGCACATGTAATTACAGTCCTACCTGTGGTGCTAACTTGGTGAGATGTGAATATTTGTGATCACCAAGTATTGGGCAGTCCAAGCCAAAACCAAAGTGAACACGGATTTGATGTTTAATTCCTAAAGTGAAAACAATATATTAGCTTTCAGAATTTAGATAAATATTAAAAAAATAAACTTTCAGTATTTTAGAACTTATAATATTCTTTCTTTTAAAAGATATATTAAATATTATTTTAAAAGACGGACAAGAGATTCAAGACATGTATACTTAATTTAATAATCTTTAAAAGCTGACCTTCAAATGAAAATCAAAAATTAATTTCAATTGAAGATACTCTACATATTTTGAATGACAAAGATGCAGTTTTCTTTGAGGAAAAGTTATTTAAACAAAATATTTTTGACAGCATTAGACAATTTTCATTTATGAAGAAGATACACACTGCCCTTTAAAATACACTGAGCCTTTTCATTTGCAGTTGACAGGAAATCAAAATCATTACCATTTGTCAAAATGGAAGTAGATTGTGGTAATAATGTTGTCATCAATATATGACAAGTAGTAATAACAACATAAATAACTTATTAAATACAAATAAAGTTGTTTCCCAAGTTTAACAAAGAAGCAAATTTTTATTTCTAAGATGTTTAAATAATTTGTTGAAGTTAAAATATTATTATTACCAAGCAGTCCAGTTTCTGTGCTTTAGAACTCCATTAACAGTTTATTTGGGTTTTTAAAACAAAATGTCAACTATTAGATATTGTCAAAGTTTTATCATGGGGTGGCATATTAGTGTTTTGTACAAGCGCATGCCACCTAGAATTTTGGTTGACAGCATACGTATTTGCATTATAAATGTACAATATATATAATGCACTTTTGCAGTGCTATATATAATATACTTTCATCATGCAACAACAACATACTATGAATACCCACTGTTAGTACTATCTGTGCATAGATCAGTGCTCATTACCAAATGTCGTTATATCACATATTTGTGCACATCTGCTTATTGACTGGAAAATAAGTATTGCAAAATACACTGCCACTGTATTCATTGTGGACATACATATCAGATCAACTACATTTCCATAGCAAGAGTTATATGTTCTCAACTAATGAAATTAATTATTGAAAATAACTCTGTTACTCAGGAATAAAGTATTTCTACTGAACAACAGCTGCTAATTTACATCTTGAGAGGAATCCAGTTTTCCTTCCAAAAGCATACTTTGCATATGCACAGTGGAATGTTTGAATAAAAAAATGTTTTATCCAGATTTCTAAATGGAGCCATTTAATATCTCTTTCAGATGAAAATTGTTAAACAGATTTTGCATTTACTCAACCAACCTAAAACATCACATACCTTTTCATTATTGTTTATTAGCAACAATAAAGTAATTTGTGCCAGACATGTACTAGGCTCACATCTCATGATTATATTCCTCTGCTACTTTTTGGAAGACCTTGTGATTCCTTTATCTAGTCCTTTGATATGCATTGACAGACTCATATTTACAAAATTTAAACTTTTATTTCTTTAACTAACTGTAATTTTAAGGTACTAAAAGTTCAAATTAATTCTTAACTTCATTTAATGCTCTTAGTATTCAAATTGCACCTTTTAGTTATTATTGTTAGTCTCAAAACAGGATTCGGTGGCATATTATTTTAAATGTCTGACTCACTTTTCAAATTGTTGCCATGAAATATTATCGTCCTGTATTACTTTTTAAAGGAATTAAATAATGAAGAATTTGCATGAATCCATATGTTTCTTCAAAGTGAAAAAATGGAAAACCTAGGGCCATCAAATCTTGAATAACGTAGTCCTCCACCCGAACATGTGCCTGGATGCCCGAATTTTGAATTTTATATTTCATATTTTGTAAAACTATCATTAATTTTTAACAAATTCAACAATCTGAAAGTGAGCAGTGACAACACTGTATGGATTAAAGCAGCAGTTCTCAACTTTTTGACTAATGCGTACCATCTAAACAAAAATTGAAAAACTTTAGTACCACCACTACATTTTTACAATAATTATTTTTCAATTTCTCAATAGAAGTATTTAAAAAAAAAATAAATATTTTGCCATTTTCACAACCTATTTGCTATTTGTATTAAATTTGCACACATAAGAAATATTAGATTAAAAATTGGTTGCCATTTTAATTATCAAAATTTAAGTTATAATACTTTAATCCTAAAATTCAGTGTAAAATTTGGGTCTGTTTAAGAGAGATGAATTTCTTTATGTCTGGTCTTATATCACTTAGTTTTTTAACTGTAAATTAGGATGCACTTTTAATTTTGTTCTATATTTATTTTTCATATGTAACATGGAAGAAAACCTTTGTTCGCACAAATGTTGTGCAAGATGGCAATAAAAATTTAATAGCTTTATTTGAAAATGCCTTTAAATTTTTTTTTTTCGGTTCAGCCAAAAGTTAACAAGTGTGTTACTTTTAAATCTTCACTTAGAGTTCGATCACAGGAAATTTCTATTAATTGTTCTTTTTCTTCAAGAGATAAAATTTCAGGTACATTTGGGGGGGGGGGAATGGATTTCTAATCTATTTTTCTTTTTCATAATCCTCGGAGAAACGCATGTTGAACTTTTTATCAATAAAAATTAGTGATTTTCAATGTCGTATGCTATTTCTTCTTTTATTATTCAAATTATTTTTGGTTTGAAAAGTGGTAAAAAGGTTAAAATATTATTATCCAAGTCTTTGATTTACACAAGTTTTTTAATCATTGCATTTATTTTATCTCTAATGGTAAACAAATTAACACTTTGTCATTGTAATCGTAAATTTAATTCATTTAACTTTCAAAAATTATGATCTAATTATGCTAAACACGCCAACCATGATTCACTAAATAAACATGTTTACAATTCAAATTTTGAATCACAGACGAAAATTGAAATTTCTGATCGAAGTTAAAAAAGATGATATAAAACTTTGCTTCAGGATAACCACCTTACTTCGTAATGCAACAAAAGCTTTTCATGTTCTTTGCCCATCTCTTGGCATAAAATCATAAATATTCTTGAATTTAAAGACTGGCCCTTAATTAACAATTTTCAAAGCTTGATTCAAAACTATTTTTAGGTTTTCGAGGATTGTTTTGGCTACTGCAACTTCACGATGAATGGAGCAGTGAATAAATTTAGTTTCAGGTGCGACTTCTTTACTTGAGAAATAACAATGGAATGTTTTCCTGTTAAAGCCCGAGCTCCGTTACTGCATACAGAAATGCACTTATTCCAAGGAATATCATTCTCAGACATAAAATTGTCAACTATTTTAAAAATTTCATTTGCAGTTGCTCTATTGTGAAGATATTCACAAAATAAATACTCTTCAGCAATTCATTTAGCTCCGAAATATATGTAGACAAAAACTTAAATGGGATTATGAAGTATTTAATTTTTGAATTTAACACTTAAAAATACTTTCCTTCTTTGTGAACCACCTAGTTTGCTCTTGCGTACCACTGGTTGAGAATCGCTGGATTAAAGCAATGTTGTTTCAAGCGCACAAGAATGTATGTCAGAAATTCTAAAGATACGTTGTTTTTAAACATTTTGTGATCAACTGAATTTTATGTGGGCTGTGAAGAACATGCTATTTAATTAATAAAATTTAACACATTAAATGTTGATAAAAAAGAAAAAAGAAAAAAAGTTTTATAAGTTATTTTACTAAGAAAAATGTATACTGATATAATAAACTTGGGGGGGGGGAAGAAAAGTGTATGCCAATAAGAGTAGAAAAACTTAACAAACCCTTTTGGGTAATTGTTAAAATCCGAGTCCTTTCAGATTTTTTTATATTTTTGTTCTTTTTTATTATTATTTTTATTAGTTTAGCTATATTTATCATCACCGTAGTGTTATTACATGCTACTAAACTAAGTTTTTCAATCACTGCAGTGTACTTCTACAACTGCTAAGCAGGCAATGCATTTTCATTAATCTAATTCGATGAAATTTTTTATCAATATAACCCAATGTCTTAATAAGATTATTGATGAAGATGCCTTGAAGTGCATATACAGTTCCAACACTATTTCCCCCTTGATTTCTATTGAAGGAAGAAACATTCAACATTCCTTTTCTTTAAGTCTTTGATATTTCCTCTGAAGAAGCAAGCCTGCCATTAAAATGCAAACACTCTTTTGTCTGTGAAGTGTTTCTGTTAGGTATCATTTTTCCTTCTTGCTTTTCTTGAACATTACCTCACTTAGCTCAGAGTTTTTTTCTTTGTGCAGCAAATCACTGACTGAGTGAAATAAAACATTTCATAACATTAAGACATAGATGACACCTCACTGTACAGGAGCATTAAGGACTAAAAATGTAACCCACAAGAATACAGCAATGTCCGTCAACCTCAACCTCATCAAATATGTATGGAATATATTAAAGAGATGCAATGATACTTAAAATTTATTTCTAGATAACAAGCTGGACTCCTTGTGTCTATATTTGTTAGAACTCTTTCAGGAGAAACAGTTAAAATACCTCAAAACTTCAGGATAACTTTGAACTAAGCATCTAATTGATCCAAATTAGGATGCAGCTTTCACAACATAATACCATATATTATGAAAGTTACATCTTAGTTTGATATATATATATATATATATATAATATATATATATATATATATATACTGACATGTCTCTATTCTTTGCTACCAATAAATAACATACATTTTCTGCATAATAACGTTTGAAGCTTTCCAGCTTCATAAAATCATTCACTAAAATGTAATTTACAAAAACTTGTCATCTACAGGCAAATATATGAAATTATCTATTAAAAAGTATAATTTAATAAAATATATAAAAATATGTTCTTCCTCACTGCCAATGGAAGAAAGGGGGGAGAGCAAGTGAAAACTAGCAATAGAGACAGACTTCTGAAGTTCAGATTTGTCTGAGATATCTTCTATGAAGTGTTTGTGCCTGCAATACAACAGTTAGATTTGGATAAGCTAGTGTGGCTAGGGTAGCCTTATAAGCTGTTTAATTGGTGAAGTATTTCAATTTAGATCCCTTCAAAATTATTTTGTATTGATCACTGTATATC